GGAAGCCCTGTCGACACCAAGTTACGCACGATTTGCCGTCATCTGAACAAGCATCTTCCAGATGCATAAAAGCGGCAACTGGACCTGCGAAACGAAACCTGAGGTTGTACGGAAGTCAGTTGAGCAGTTGTGATGCTGGTCGGCTCCGCCGGAATGGGCGAGACTCCTAGAAGCCTTCAAGTCTGTTTGATTTTACTGGCGTTTGAAGCATCCGTAATTCTCACCATTCAAAGCCACCAAAATACAAACGTCATCTGACAATATACCCTGTCTAGTTAATGCCAGATGCCGTGCTAGCTAGTCGATAGCACTTTAGAAAGTCACCATGCAATGTCGTCCCCCTTGTTTGGGTGACGGCCACAGTTATTTTGGCGACCATGGATGTGAGGTTCGGGTGACGGCGATGGTGGGCATCGCTGGTAAAATGGTGGGCGCCTTTGGCCCGCTGCCGCCTGTTGTTCTCTGGGGTCCAATGTTCGAGTGATCGTTCCCGCACCTCATCTACGCAAGCCGGGGGTGCCACTCTGCTGCAGCAGTGTGGCCCGCTTCCTCCTTCTTATGCAGACGATTGCAGTGTCGTGAGACCGGAGCAGGGGACGGTTCTCCTTGAGGCCCCTGTCGAAGCACCAATTAGGTTAGGTAAAAGCTCAGACGGGCCGCGAATAGTGAACATCATAGTGAGCGTTGGAGAGAAGTGTTCCGCCGTGGCCGACAAACGACGCGCGGAAGAGGTATCGAATCGCGCTTTTCATGTTGGGTCTTGGGGTGTGATTCCCGAACGGACCTCGGTTGGTGTCATCCAAAACTTCATGCTCGTCGGGCAAATCCACATTGGGATCAGTTTGCAGCGATTACCTCTCAAGGATCCTCAACGTAGTATTTGCCCGTAGAGTCTGAGGCAGATGTCAATAAGCCAGACTCGGGATCTCCGTGGCTGAAGCTGAACAGGAGAAAAACAGGCTGTAAATTTCGGGTCTGATTCTCCGCAGCAAGTCAGGAAGTTGACAAGGAGGGTAATACGCAGTGTAAGGCTTGTGGCCAGGGGCCATTGTTCGGGGTGGTCGATGAATGTTGACAGTGTATGCGTAGGGGGTTAGAGAAGAGGACCGGCGGCACGCAAAGGTTGCCCAGTAAAGACGCGCAGTCGAGCCAAGACTGGAGATTGACGCCGGGCTTTTTGGCCCCCTAGCTTCGTGCAGGAGGTAATGAAGTTTCGGTGCGATCTAGACTTGATGTCTTCTTCCTAGTGACTCGGGCAAAGTGTTTGGCAAAACCATGGATATAGTCTTAGTTGATGCGAGTGCCTGCTGAGCTGAAGTTTGTAGGTAAAACTAGAATGTGGAGTATCCCTCAGTGTGAGCTGCGAGTCATCAATCTTTTGGTGAAATAGGGCATGATGATGCCGAGTTTGGATATCAAATTGCAATGAAGGTCTCGTCGAAGACAAAGTCGAGTAGTGGTGGCTTATTCTTGCAATGCCTGCCTCGTGGAAGCTCAAAATAGGAAAGTCATCTTCATTGATGATACGACTAGAAAGTAAATAGATACTATGTAATTAAAAGCAGGCACGAAAAGGCAAGAATACCTGTCGGGCCTTGCCTTGCTGACATTTCGTGTTGATTGCGTGGTGCTGTACCCGTATCCTTCGGTGAGTACGTACTTCTGTCCCCTTCCGTCCATTTGTGTTGGGGCCGCAGTCGTTACAGAGCACCGTTGCGTGTTCTCCACTCTGGGCGCGCGTGTACTACTATGATGATGGAAGTGGGAAAAACAACAAGAAGAAAACAGAGGTAGCTGTGGGCATGGGCGCTCTTACTTGCTACTGGGTACATTGCTGCAGGAGGTTAACCGGTCAGTGAAAGTGCAGATGCCAAGTGAGGTAAGATGCACCGACGGAAGTGTCTTGTCTCGTTTCGTCTGCCTGGCTTAGGCATTTTTGCTGTCGCTGCTTTAGACAGCAGCATGTCTTCCTGCCTGCCCGCCCGCTCGCCTGTTCATGGCATGTCTCCATGTGTATGTGTGCTTAGCAACCAGCCTGCCTGCTTCTGGCTTGCCAATACCCCTCGTCTCTGATCAAGACCCCGGTTGTCTTTAGGCTAGGCTAGACCGGACTCTTTGATACTTTTAGTGACGACTTCCATCGCTCTTCTTTTCGGGGCCATGAGCATAATCCTAGCTGGCGCAATAGACGGACCGGCCATCAGTCAGACTGCGACCGTCAAAGCCGAACCCAATCAGTCTTAGCGGATAGACCGCAGTCATTCTGTCAAACCAGCGGGGGGTGGAAATGGAAGCCGCAGTCGCCGCTGATGCTTCTCTACTATGTACACTACTTGCACTTACACCTGCCTGCACCTGCACCTGCACCTGCACCTACATCTGCACCTGGTTTCCTCACCCCTGTCACGACCTTCCTGGCGCCATCGTCGTCTGTGCCCGTGCCCAGATGGGCGGTCCCACATTTGACTCCTCTTCTACGGTTTTTTATTTTTCTTCTTGCGCTGGCTGCATATTACAGCATATTATTACTGTCAATGTTGCCGTAGTCATGCTGATGGTACGGAAGGCAAGATGACCCTCTATGGATACCTTCTCCCCCGCTAGAGTTCGGATTTCCAGACAGTCGCAGCCCAGTTCTGACGGCGCAGGGCATTCACACGCGGTTTCGAGCAGGCCTCCCCCGAAGGGAATGTAAAAAAAAGTCGATGGCCGTCTTGGTCTTGGCTGGTTCTCGTAACCGTGTGACAGGGAACCCCAGTCCCACGTTCTTGTCCGTTTTCTCCACTTCCTTGAAGAGAGGGCGAAGGGGAGGGAAGGTTTTTTTTTCATCTTTTTTCCCTCTTCGACCAGTCTGTCGGCCGGTGTGCTTCTTTGTCGAGTGACTTCCTCTGATTCCACACACACCCCCCGTTAAAGAAAAAAAAAAAATAACAGTGTGCTCGCCACACCCGAGAGACGCCGCCGCTGCCAACGCCGCCGCCATTTGACTCTTCTGCGATTTTTGGCTTCATCTGGTCCATGTCCCTGTCGCCGTCATACAGTCATACCTACCACCAAGTCCCAGACTTTCCCAGTCCCAACCCGACCCCAGCATAGAAGGCCCTGTCCTAGTCCATCCATCCGTTCCACTTCTTCCCAGGCTTCTGCTCCCCCCCTCCCTCCCTCCCTCCCCATCTACGTCGCTCTGCGCCGGGACATCTGCACCTGCACCTACCTGCACCTCCTCTGTGCATGCACCAGCCCAGCCAAGTTCTTAACCAGCCTAGCCCGGCCTAGCATCAGCATCAGCACTGGCCAGCTCCAGCCTTTTCCCAGTATCAACTCGCATCGCACCTGCTGATGCGACCTTGATTGCTGCGCGCTATCCGACGCCTCCATTTCCAATCGCAACCTCAAGCATCGCGGGGCACATCAGCTTGTCTCTGCCAGGCTCGAACAACAAGAAAAAAAAAAAAAAAAAACCCCAAAGTTCCATTTGCGTCTATACCCATACCCAAAGACAAAATCAGAGAGAAAACAGCTTTGTCAAATTATTCGCATTTAAGTCATCAGGCACAGCATCGTTCTGTTTTCACCGGAGAAGCCGGAATCGCTGGAACAGCAATAGAACAGCTAGCGAAGCAAGAGAGGCTGCTGATTCATTCCACCATCTGAGGGCCCTGAACATCTTGGGTACTTACAATTACTCACTTGACACTTGCTATTCTGCCCGGCATCATATCGCGTCGCATCGCTTCAATTTGCGACAAACTGACCGTCGCCCATCTACCATCTGCCATCAGGCAGTTTTATCATTGTCTCCAGCAAATCGTCATCGTACTTGGGCAACATTACTTTTCTGCGAGATATCCATCACCTCAAGTTCCCACATCCCCATTGCGGAGTCGCCTTTTCTTCACCCCCCCTCCGCTCAATACACTGTCGCGCAAACCCTTCGTCAAGGCGCAGAAGTCGCCCAGAAAGGCATACGGCTGCAACTTGACAAGCGCAAGCATCCGACCACATTGCTCCGTGCTGCCTTCCTTGCCTTACGTTTATCTTTGCCTTAAACCAGGTACCTCCCTACGGACACTGCCCGCCCGTCCAAGGAGCAAGCCTAGGTACTTCTCTACTTCCTGCACCCAAAGGCAAAAGATACCAGACGTGACACACCCTACCACCCGACCTTACCTTGCCGTTCTCAGTCGCCCACTTCTCTCCGTCCATCCATCATCTTATCCTTACCACGCAACATCTCTGCGAACGCCAGCCAACCATCCGTCATCTTCCCTCCTTCACCACACGCGCACGCGCATATCCACTGGCGACGACCTCCCCATTCTTTGCCCACACTCTTCTCTCTTCTCATCGCCGACGAGAAAGTGGTACTCGCCAACATATTCTTATTCCTCCCCCCTGCGTTTCCCATTGCTAACCCTGTTCCCGGGTTGTTCTTCACTGCGCGACAAGTGCCAGTGAAAAAAAAAGAAAAAAAAAGGATAATCTCGCCGAACAACAGGTTTCTTGCTTCTTGCATAGCAGCTACCCACAGGCCCTTTCGCAAAGGAATCTTGCCGCCGCAGACCACAGGACACAGACCCTACCGATACTCTATTGAGTTCTACGGCTTGGTTGTACCGGCACTACAACTCAGCTGTTTGCATTTCATCTAGGATTCAAACCTTCCCTATTCAAACACCCCATACCCCCTTCCTTGCCCTGCGTTGAGAAAACTGAACGAAACGGGAGAGGCACGAAAGCTTCCATTCGACTTCTTCCCAAGCCGCTCCCCCTACCCGTTATTACTCGACACCTCTCCCCCCGCCAGGGACATTTCAGAGCTTTGCGCCAACCATATGCACGCATAAGCCTGCCCTGCATCGCCCAGCGCACCACCCCCCCGACCCAGCGTCGCCCTCGACCGCGACCCGGCCGGAAGGCAATCCAACTATATCAAGACACGTCGTCGTGGACCTGATCTTCTCGAATTTGCTGCTGCTGGGAGACATTTTGCGCGCTCAATGTACTCTACGCAGCCGAACGGAGCTGATAGTGCGACAATCAACCCGGCTGCTCTCAACTCTGGTATGTTGCTTATTTGCTCTTAATGTCCCCCTCCCCAGTTTCACACCCCCCGCCCTTTACCCAGCCTCAGCCTGCCTGTCTGTCTGCCTGCACGCCCACCCGCTAGCCGTCATCGCATTCCACTGCGAGGTACTCCGCGTCGGTAGCTTTTAATACCGGCGCAGTCGCTTACGCCTCTCCCTCTCTTTCTCTCTCTCTCTCTGTCTTGAATCATGGCTGCGCTGTCTCAACATCACCTGTCTCGCAATGGCTCTGTGCTGACGGTTGCGATTATTAATAAGACCTACTAAACACTAGCTCTCGCGGCATCAAAAGAAGCCGATCCCCCGACAACTTCCAGGAGACAGCTCCCGCAGGTAATCAAGGTATGTTTTTTTTCCGCCCCTTGCCCGGCACCTCCACCACTCCGTCCCAAAATGCTTTTGTTGGTTAGCAAGCGCGCGTGTCACCTCCTGCCTCCTTGCCGCAGTGCGCAACGCGATACAAGCTAATGCCTCGTGTTCCCTCGGCAGGTGACTCTAACCCGAGAAAACGTGGAAAGTCGTTGAAAGGAAAAACCTCCGGAAGCATTTCCGAGACTGCCGGCCAGGCCCTCGTATCCAACATGCCTCAAACCATCCCACCACCGCAAACCCCTCAAAACCAGGCCGCGCCGCTGCCAGGAGGGCAGACTGTCGCCTACGCGCCCGCACAAGCGTCCCCTCCGCCGAAGACCACACCGACGAAGACGACGCTGAAAGCCTTGCCCACTGTGAGAGACCACACCACCGATCAACTCAATGCTGCCGGCGATGAATATCTCCCGAGAGAGATCGACGAATTTGGGGAGAAGAAGGTGATGCCCAATGGCCAGCTCTTGGGTGGCCGTGAATACAAATGCCGGACGTTCCTGGTTCCCAACCGCGGTGACAAGCTTTTCATGCTAGCGACTGAGTGCGCGAGGGTGCTGGGTTATCGTGATTCGTACCTCTTGTTCAACAAGAACAGGTCGCTCTACAAGATCATTGCCAGCCAGCCCGAGAAGGACGACCTTGTTAGCCAGGAAATTCTCCCATTCTCGTACCGGTCTCGGCAGATCGCAATTGTGACAGCACGATCCATGTTTCGTCAATTTGGCAGTCGTGTCATTACCAATGGCCGAAGAGTTCGCGATGACTATTGGGAAACCAAGGCACGCAAACAAGGGTTCACTGAAGCCGACTTGGCTGGTGAGAAGCGCCCCGGGGCCGCGAAGGCAAGAGAAGCCGCAGCCGAAGCACAGAACCAGGTTATGCTGGGAGGCCCTCACGGAGAGATCGTCTACAGCAACACTCCCAGCCAGTTCCCCGGCGCCCCTCAACCTCAGATCGTCCAACCAGGTATGCTTGGAGCGCCAACCGGAACCACGACCAGAATGCCCGTGATAACACTAGGATCAGAGCTCAGTGACAACCGCCCCCGTGATTATAGCGGAATCCTCAAAGGCGGACCTCGCCAGGAGATCACCGGCCCGGCCTACCAGGACCAGACGCGCCCCGCGCAGATTGGAGAAGTTCACGCCCAAGCACACCACGCTGCGGAGTACAACCGAACGCTGAACCAGCAACGTGACATGCGCGGCGATTACCTTCAGGGCATATGGAGGCGACCGCACGAGCAACCCCAGTCGTCAAACCTGACTCAGGGCGTGGCCACGACTGATGCGGCAGTACCAACGACGCGGGCAACTCAGTCACCGCACACAACGGCCAGCGGTATGCCACAGTCTGGCATCGTGCCCAACCAGAGTCCCCAAATGATGATGACGGCCCCACCATACTCCCAGTCGATTCACGCGCAGAATCCAATTAGTCAGGCTCCGATGAGAGGTATGGCCCAACCGTCTTCCCAAAAGAACAGCAAGCCAACGACTTTGCCTGCAGCAGGGAGTGCGAGCAATATGCCACAAGGCGCCCAGGGCTACCACTACCCTGCTTCCGGCCAAATGTGGCCTCAGACGCAGCAAAACCCTCAGCACAACTACTCGGGGTACACAACGCAGAATCAACAGTCTCATCAGCAATCACCGGCCCCTCAACTCCGGCACGCGAGCAGCGGTGTGCAGCCAGCAATGCAGTTCTCTGGAATGCCCGGTATGGGGCAAAGCTATGGTGCGGGTCAGGGAATCTACCCGGCAGATCAGACTCCTCGTCAATACATGCCCCAACCCAACCAAGGCTCGCCGGCTGTCACGCAGGCTTGGTCCAACCAACAGACGCCAGCACAGTGGTGGACAAACCAACCTCAATGAGTATGAAAGGGTTTACGATACAATGGACTTATTTTTTACTCTCACAGTTTCGATTCCAGCAGCGTTATGCCGGCCACTTACCATTTCGTTTCGTTTATATATGTGGCGGCGACTCCCTGGCTTTTGCCGGTTTGGCGGGTTTTCTGCTGCCCTCTGAAGGATACCCAAGCATACAGTTCAGGTGGAGGCTATGTGCTTTTGGGCCGCCGGCCTGTCAGTCTTCGTGCAGCATTTTGGCCGAGAAGGGAAGGATAGAGGAGTCGCGGGGGATCCGGGAACATATTATCTCTCAGGTCAAGGGGTGGATTTGGTTTATTAACTGTGCCCCGTTTTCCTTGTTCGTCATTTTCAGGTTTTCGGTACTTGGGGAGGATGCATTTTGCAACATTGGTTGGCCGCCTATTCGATTCAGTTTATCCTCGTTAACGCTTCCCCAACATCTTGTCCTCGCGTTTCCTTCCATTTTTCTACCTTTTCCTTCTTTTTTTTTCTTTTCTTTTTTTTTTTTGTCTTCTTGGTTCATGTCTGTTTCCTCACCGTTGGCACACGGGCACTTTCGACTTCAATTTGATACCACCACCGTCTTCTTGTCGCCGATTCGCTTCGCGCGCTGTGTTAATTAGTCTTTCGCATCCCTTCGAATACGATACCATACGAACAATCTCTTCGCACGTACTTCCCGCTACAGGCCACTAAAACCGTCAAGGGTTGGCTCAAATGTTTTGAGCGGCACTGGTTGTACGGCGACCAATGTGAGCTCTCAGTGGCAAACCACTTGGTGATGTGTTAATCACTCCAACGCCGCGTTTCCCTCCAAACACGAAAGCTATCTCTGCAGCTTTTTGCCAAGTTGTTCGATTTCGGCAATTTCAAGGCAACAGTAAGGTTCGAGGGTAAGACGTTACTTTCAATTTGACGAGTGGCGTACACGCCGTTTGGATATCAACATGGACCGTGCCAGGCGACCGGAAACTTGCCCGAATCGCGTCAAGATTGTCAGAGGGAACCATGGGGGCAACAAGTCACAATATAGTTTTAGGGTTTGGGTTGTGTCCAGGGTGCACCCTTTATTGGAGGACAGCGAAATGACACCTACTCTTGAAAACCGACATGGGCGAGGACCTCCTTTTCTTTCTGCACGTTGATGACCAAATAATTTTGGCCTTGTTTTATCCATGTATGGTGTATGAACCAGCACAGCAGCATCAAAGGGAGTTGCTGTGTTTACTCGACTGAAACTTGATATAGGTTATAACGGTTGGGTTGGCTAGGTTTGTTCTTCCTGGTGGGGCAAGGACTTGTTTCGTTTCTTCGTCTCTGGGTCACGGTCTTTGGGCAGCAAGGGACCGTGTCGATCGAACACTTTATCTTTATTTCAAAGCTGTTTCCGTTACTGACTTTGGCACTGCGACTTCGTATGTATTTAATGATGAAAGTGGAAGGGAGGAAGGACTCGGACCCCTTCAACGCGGAGGTTATAGTCCCGACCTGACGTGAACCATTTGCTTTCGTTTCCTATGTACTGTTTTTTCCCCCTTTCTCTTTCGTTAGCACTTTCCTGTGAATTCACAGCATAGAAACTTGTGTTCCTGTTTGGACAACTATTAATAAAACATCCGTGCTCCTGTGTCGGGAATAGTGTTGCCCCCAGTCCCGGTGAGGAATCTCATTTTTTATTCTATTTGCACGCCTCGCATGCCATCTGGTTGTTATAGTTTCCCTGGTCTTTTCGTTTTCCTCTTCTCCCTTTCTCTTTTTATGGTTTTCTCTTTTTTTAAAGGCAAGTCTCGTAATCGGGACGAAGAGCAGCTTAGAAGGAAAGGGGTAATGTTACGCGCTTGGCCCCAAGGGCGTATGCATATTTACCTTCTTCTGTTGCTTCGCCCGTCTTCGATAGAAGAAAAGGGGATGCAAAGTATATTTCTTAAGCTCCAATCAAACTCTACCGTTTCCTTTCCCTTTTTGTGTGTGTAGGTGTGTGTGTCCCCCCTCCTTCCCTCTCCTATTATTTAAGCTCACGGTTAATCTCTACTTTTTCATAGTTTGTGTCTGTCACACCCCTCCCTCCCATCTTTATCCCCCCCCCCCCCCCCCCCCCCCCCCCCCCCCCCCCTCCCCCCCCCCCACAGGCTACTTCCCATAACGGTCCCTGCCGTTCAAGCCCCCTTGTCTCGCAAGTGTTGGGGCTCATGGAGGTTTAGTATGTCTTTTTTTCTTTCTTTCTTTTTGCACCCAGTGCACACGCTGTGTGAAACTCTCGGCCGAAGACTTCAAGCCGAAGGGGAAGGAAGAGAGCCGAAGGAGAGAATTTTGATGCTTTCGGAACGACAAAGTAGATCACCATTCATTACCTTTGGCCCCCGAGGTGACGGGGGAGCTGAGGCGGCGATGCTTTACTTTGCCGTCGGCAACGAAGCTCCGGAGGTGGACGGACAGAGTTTACGTAGTTCGTGAAACTGGTCGAGATTCGGAACCGTCGGGTACTTGGATGGGCGGGGGAGGAATGTGATGATGGGAGAGATTATGGGCGGGAATGAATGGATTGGCTGTAGTATCACGGCACGTCCAAAGGGATTACTGAACGGGAGAGTTATGCTGATGTCGTGATTTTTTCTTTTCATCCTTCTGGAGAATGAAAGGCATTGCTATGCGAGTTTGAAGGACTCCTCGGAACCGGATCTCTGTTTGATGTCACGGGTTGCGGTCAGGCCCGGATCTCGGATTTGGATCTCGGACCCGGCCGAGCATCCTAGATGAGGGGGGCAGCCACTTGGCGACCTCTTTTTTTTTTTTTTTCAGTTTCGGCAGTACTACAAAAGAGCACAAGCCTGGTTACTATACGTTTCGTCTCGTCTGATTGCGGGCTTTGGGAGGGGTCAAGTAGCTGAATGGGTATGAAGGAAAGCAGGGGGTGAGAGGGGGACGATGATGCTATGTTGAGGAGGGGGGCGTTCGTACTATTCCGCCTGTTTTTCTTTTCTTTTGGCATGTGCTGATGGTAACTTTGACCTGCTGCCTCGGTGGAACAGCTGGGGGGGACATGCATTTAGGAAGAGGGATGATCCAGGAACAGCATGACAGAAGAGGGAGAAAGGAAGAGCGCGAGAAGGCAAAATAAAATAAAAATAAAAAAGATTAAAAAAGAAAATAAAGAAAGAAAGGGCAAATGGATATTATACCAGGTGAAACGAAACATTAAACCAGCCGATTTTTTCTTTCTTTTTCTTTCTTACTCCACGGCCCCCGGGTGTACGAACTGGCGTGCGTGACTAGACTAGGCTACCATTTCGGGCACAACGGTTTTCTTCTAGACGGTCTTGTCGTCTGAAATTTTCTCCAGCATTGGCCTGCTTTGGATGTATGCATTGTTGAGGATGCGAATGCGAAAAGCCTATGCTTGCTTGTGATGGCTTTGCGATGTCTAGTTGGATTGGGGTATACCGTGACGACATGGCTGACTTGAGAGGTCAACCCATGAGTGCTTGCTTGTTTGCCTTCCTAGTATTGACGATTGCTATCACGGTCGAGATTGCAGCACTTCCAATGAGTAAACCATGGAGGATGAGTGGCGGATTAGTGAAGTCGAGCGAGTCCCATCGAACATAGAAAAAGCATGTCCACACGGTGGCTTCGATCAAACAAAAACTGCTCTTTTAACGAGAATATAGCGTATTATATACTGTGAGATGCTGCCTCATATCGTGACCAAAACCGGAGCCCCTCCCTCTTCTTGATATTCGCTTCCTTCATCCACATGCCGAGAGTTCTTCTTCTCCTGCGGCGAGTTGTGCCAGGCCATCATCCTCCACCTAAGCGTCCCAGCAGAGCATCCTCAGACAGCAGGGCGCGGGTACTAATCGCTCTCGTCGCCGTCGAGCGCCTCGTCGACCTCCTCGCTGCCATCGCCCTCCTTCTCCTCCAGCGCATCCTGCGTCTCATCGCCGCTTCCATCGCCCTCCTCCTCCTCCTCTTCTTCGTCATCTTCCTCTTCTGCCTCTTCCTCGTCCTCCTCATCCTCGTTGGCCTCCTCTTCGGGCTCCGTCTCCGCGTCGTCAGCCTCCTCGTCGACAGTCATGGCCGAGTCGTCGACGCGAGCCTTCTTCGCACGCGGCGCCGATCCGTCGCCGTCGGCGGACGAGGCCGTGGTGAGGATACTGTCGTCGACCGAGGCCGCCGCGGCGCCTGCGGCAGCTCCAGCTGCGAGACCTGCTGCGGCACCTGCTGCTGCGCCGCCCTTCTTGGCTGCTACCTTTTGGCGGTAGGATGAGCGTTTTGCGGCCTGGATCTGGTTGTATTCTAGACGTGCCGTGTTAGCAAACTTCTCTGGGGTGATGAGATGAGTATGACGAGATCGGGGCCACATGGTGAGTGTGACGACAAGTTAGAGGGAGACGGAAAGGAAAGGGTCTGACTGACTGGCAAACTCCTGCTCCAAGGGCTCGCGGAGGAAGCCGAACTCAATGTCCTCAAGAGCCTTGAAGACATCCTCGGCGCTGACGGTCTTCTTGTTGGCATTGACGGTGTTCTGGTTGGCACTGCGCACCGCTACGTCAGCTTTGCAACTTCACGCTCTCCCTCACTCCCTAGGAAAAGGCGTCCCTTCCCAGGGCAACGGGGACAAGGAAGACAATGAGGGGGAAGACGCACTGTGCTGCGAGGTAGTTGATGAAGACCGTGGCGCTCTTGCTCAACGCCAAGACGGCGTTGGCCTGAATCTGCGATTGGGGCGGGAGAACACCCTTTGCCAGCCTCGTGATGATAGACTTGGGCAGGTTGAGGTCCTACATAGACACACGTCTGTTTAGTAACTACAGCGTTCTACGAGAGCGAAGTTGAAGAGAACCCTACTTCGATGGTGAGAGCGTCTTTATCGACCTTCTCCTTTGGTGTTTTTTCCGAGTCCTTCTTCTCGGAGCCAGCGTGCAAGACGGTCGTGGTCGTCAGCGGCGTTGATGATGCAGTCGCCCTGGAGACGTCGGGTGTGGGTTCCGGTGCCGGTGCGGCGCTGGAGGGCGTTGCCGAAGCAGCAGCCGCGGGTGTTGCAGGTGTCGGAACCGATGCCGCCGGGGTGGAGGCCGGGGTCTCGTCCATTACGACGAATCGGGCGCTGGAGACGTCGCTCTTGCGGTTGGCGTCGCTTTTGCGTGGAGGCATCTTGTGTCAGTTTGGGTGGGTGAGGAAGGTTGTGTACGGTGGAGAACGGTTTGAAGAGCCCAGGAAATATAACGGCACAGAAGCTGTTGGTAGAGTTGCTTTTTTTCTTTCTTTGCTCTTTTTGTCCGTCTGGAGGGTAGCCCTTAGTGCGTGGAGCTGTTCGTGTGATGCTTGGGCGCGCGGAGACGGTGGTGAGGCGAAGCGAGGCGTGGGCGTAGAGGGTATGAGAATTGGTGAGACGTTGAAGTTTTTCGCTCTCACACACATACACACATAACACGCACGCACTCGCTCTCAGGGGGTGAGAGGAAAGGGGGGTTCTGTTGGTTCGAGCGGCGTGGGCGAGTCGGTTTGCTTAGATTGGTACTTGCATCTATAAGAGTCGCTGACTTAGAGTGACTCTTGTCTATCGTTTTCCCGTCAATCTAACGCGCCTACGATGAGAGATGCCACTCAAGGATAGCGAATTGAGGCTCTTGTCATGAGAGGCACGGGTGGCGGTGGGGAACGGAATGAGAAGTCACGGCGCACTGTGACTGTGCCTGTGCCTGTGCCTGTGGTCGTCGGCCGACAGCAGCCAGTGAGCGCGTCGTGTGCCACTGAGGACGCGACTTTTCTTAGCGGGGCCCACTGCCAGAGAGAAGACGCGTTAAGTGTAATATCCAACTCATGCCTGCCTCCACGTCCTTACTCATCATCACTTTCAAATTGAACGTCCATTTTCCCAATGCAAAGGCTTTCCATGTTTGGTCCTGCTTTGGTGTTTTCGCATTCGTTTTCAACACATAGTAGGCGTCATTTTGTACAGTTACATGAGTCCCATTATTAAGAGAAGCCACACCCCCACCACCACTACTATGAAGAAAAAAAGAAGAAAAAACGAGACCTCTGGGAACAATGACATTTCGTCTATTCAATCCCCTGCCATCATCTCATCTTCTGCCTCATCCCTTTGTCGCACTTTACGACACCGAGAATCGCCATCCATCAAAATTGTCAATGGTTGCAACCTATTCATGCCGCGGGTCGCGGAAGAAAACCCCCTCCAGGCTACTACGTCGTCAGAGCTCGCGTTCTTCTCGAAACTACCTCGCATCGTCATCGCGATCATGACTCAGGGTGTGGCCCGGACGAACCAACCCAGAGTCGCTTGCCGGAACTTCACGCCCGAGGATCCCATGGGTAAACCAGATTCGCAAAGAAGCCGTGAGCTCGCAGATAAGTGAAGCAGTGTCAAAAGTCCATCCCTTAAACCATAAAGATGCAAGGAGGGGACAAGGTAAAACACAAACAGCGATGACGAACAACTGCCAGAAGAAAACCAACAGTCGCAAAGGGGATGAAATCACATAAACTCAACCTAGGAAACCTAGGAGGCACCTGTCAACGAGATCCGTGGCATGCTGGTGCCCCCCTCGATCTGGACCTGCGTGGAACAACAGATCGGCAGCCCGGCTTTCTTGCAGTGAAACTGACACACATCACCCTGGCATTGCAGTTTAATTGTACTAGGCAACGATCTGCCGCCCCCCTCCCATTCACACTTCCCGAGCCTTCCCCTCCATTTCGATCTGTGCCTTGAAGAGCAAGAGCTCAACAGCCGAGTCCCTGGTGAGCAAAGCTCGGTGAACGACGGGCTGCCGAAGGAGGTGGTGTTGAGGATCAAGTGTGGTGCCTGGTTTCTTACCCCGCCCCATTTTGCCTCCCGGCCAGCGTCACCCGCACGCACCCATCCCACGCACGGGAAGCACGGCGTTTCACCTGTTTTCGGGGCCCGTCATCGCATCCCTCGCGATGCTGGGATGGCATCTGTCGCGGGCGTGGCTATCCGCCTCCCTTCCCCTCCCTCCATCCCTGATGGAACCGACAAACAAACAACCGAGAAGAAACCTTGGGTCGTGATCGAAATTTGCCTTTTACACTATTGGGATGCTGGGCAATGTCGCAGCATTACACATCGTGCTCTCCCCATCCCCGCCCCCCTCTTGTCTGTTTCACTAATCCTCCGAGGCGGTGAAGCCAACGTAGCAGCTGACGTACAAGAAGCTTCCGATGCGTTGGGTTCACTTGGGACGATGGGTCATCGTTACCCTCTTGCGTACGCTTGAGTTTCCGCTTTGGAAGAGCTAAACTGTGCAAGGTTGCTACAGGTTGGTTTTTTTTTTTTTTGTTATGATCGGCCCGCTGATCGGAGTTAATACCAAGCTTCCGAAGCTCCATGGTTTGCAAGATCATATGTCACAGCTAGATATTCTTGTAAATGAGGTTCACGGGCGCTTAAAACATCATGGAAGATGATTGTGCGTTTGTGTTTCCATTGATTTGGGGGGCCTATTCATACAGTTGTGCCCTAGTTTGTATCCAAGAACATGAATTTGTAGTAAGAAATCTGGGCTGCGTTGCAGCGGTAGTCAAGTCAGTTTATCACTGGGGTATATCCGTCACCAAGCCGACGTGCGGTGTTCCAAAGACAGTAAGAAAAATAAGAATGCCATTTCCAGGCATCAGCCGCTTCTTTTGCCATGGACTCCATCCATGGGCAAGTAGCAGGGTAGGGTATGCTCGTTCAGTAAAGAGGAACTTAAGAGTGGGGTGTTTGTTGGGTGTGTGCATGCATGTGCGCAAGCATCCAAGTATATCTGTGTAGAGGTGTGTATGTGCGCAGCCGCCGAGTGTACCAGCATGGCCGCTCCAAAGAGGGCATCATCTGCCAAGACTCGGCAACGTCGGCGGTGACAGTTGGTGTAGTTGGTTTCCATTCTGGGATGAGGCGTTCTACCGTTCAACCTTCATCAACAACTTGTGGTTGGCTGATGGTGCTAAGACACATGGGAACGTGATAAGCCGCCATACAACGGTATGTGAAACAAATGTCCACAAGATGGCACCCCGCACTTTCCAGGCCTGCGGGAAAAGCGCAAGGGCTGAAACGAACGTAACTGAATAAGTAGCCTGCGGCGCAAATCGTCATCCGCGGGGTTTTGTGCAATATGGTCTGCAAAGGTTGCAAAAAGATGGGTAGTAAAACAAGGCGCAGCGCCAAGGGTGTGACTCCCCTGGAGAAGGCAGAAACACAAATCGCTGGATCAACCTACGGCAAGGCCAATCTCTGATTGCCGAGGCTGGGGACGAGGTGATAGGGCACCCAGGCGGAACTCTTCACCAAGTGAGAGCCGCGGGGGGTTCGATGGGTCCGAATAGACTCGGTGGTGCTTTCCGTCCGAATGTGCAGACGAAGGCATACACGCGTAGGGGTCTGTAGAAGTGCGCGGTGAAAGTTCGAAGTCGCCGTGATAGCCGAACCAGTGGTCTCGTAAACTACCAACACTGGCACTGCTGCGTGTGCTGCGATGTCTGGCATGACGGGGGGACAAGGGCGGGAGTTTGGATAGTCTCGAGTTTTGACGCTTTGGTGACGGGATGAAGGCGAGGTCTCCTTCGATCGCGTCGTCTGTAAGTCCAACGCGGGCATTGGGTGCTCGAGCGAGAACAGGAGTGTTCGGTAGGTCGATGCTCCTCTTGTCCATGCTTCGCTTGTGGTAGAGGGAGCGAGGCGACGTATCCGTAGAGGTACGAGGCTGGTATGAGTTATGGTTCTGATAGACAATCACGCTGGGTGGCTTGCGAATTGAAGAAGCCGAGTCTTGCTTGTCAACGACGACCGTTGTCGATTTCTCAATAGTCCGGCTGGCTTTCCAAGACTCGATCTCCTCATCGTCGATGGGCGCAATACCACGACGGCTGAATGGGCCCCGGCCGCTCAATGGGAGACGGCCATAACGATAGCGATAGCAGACACACACAGCTCCCACAATGAGCACCACACCAAGCACCGAGAGGACAGTACTAAGGGCGACGACGAGGCTACGGTCGCCCTCAAAGCCCTGTGAGTTGTTGCCGGACATGGCGCCGTCCGTCAGCGAAGTCGAGCTTGGTACAGCTGGCGCCGGGGGGGCTGTTGATCTGCTGCCGGCATCAGTTGGCTGGACAGGTGGTAACGTATTGGTAGGCCGGTTTGTAGTTGACAGTAGTGGCGGTGGCGGCTGTGGTGCAATAGGTATAATGACAGGAGCGATTGAGCTTAGCGCAGGGATCTGGTTCGGAGAGGAGCGAGCTGGTGTAGGAAATTGAGAGATAACGGGAGCTGCGAATTGTGAAGTAGAAAGTAAAGGAACAAAGAGGGACGATGTTGTTGATGGTCTGGTCTCGGCAGAAGTTCTTGGACTCGGGACCGGGGGAGTGGTTTCCGGGGGAGGCGGCGGTGGTGACGGAGGCGGAGGCGGAGGAGGTTCTTCAGGTGGTGGAGGCGGAGGGGGAATCTCCTGATGAGGAGGCTCCTGGGGGGGTTTCTCTGGTGGAGGAGGAGGTGGTGGTTCCTCAGCTGCCACTCCTACAAGACAGGTTAGCGGACTTGTCCAAGCCAGAAATGAAACGAGTATGAAGACGGAAAGAAATGTCCAGATATAGCTAAAGTGGAGATGGCATGAGAAGGATAATCGAGATGGATAGTCAGAAGCTGTTTGCCAATGCCCAAAATGGATATGCCAACAAGGTGAAAGGACATGTAAGAAGGTCGGGTTGACGAATGCTGTGTTGAGTGCTTTGCCAAACCACACCTTCTTGTTTGCCATTATTCACTCCTTCTATGCCATCGTTGAAGGTCTCGTCAATTGGGGTATTGCCTCTTCCGGGAGAAAGCCCAGCGCCAATCCCAGGTGCAAGCTCCAACTTGGGGTTCGGAGGAGGACCCCGATCTTTACCTTTTCCTTTGGCCTTGCCTTTACCCTTGCCCTTCTCCGTGTTCGGATTGCTGTCGGTGCTGTCGCGTTTGTGCTGTGACAAGGCCCGTGTTGTGATTGTCCGACTTGGTAACCAGGCCGCAACCAAGAGCAGCTTCAAGGTCGACATTATTCGATAGAGTCTCTCGTTCCTTCTTGTTGGGCCAGCCCAGGAAGAATCTCTGATCTCTCCACACCTCGTCCAGGACACACTATTGTTAAGGCCAGAGGTTCAAGTAACGCCTGTGCCAAGGGCAACTTGCACCTGTTGAACACTGGATCCTTTTCGTATAATAGGATGAAACCACACAGGCAAATAGGCACGAAAAAAGAAGAAAAAAGTAGAAGAAGAAAAAGGGGAGACAAACAGGTTAGGTAGTTAACCGCCGGGCCAGGTCAACACAACAGTTCAGTCAGTTTGAGGTTCCAAGACTCCGAAATCGAGGATGGGAGCCGGTTGATATTGGAGACCTTGAGAGAGGAAAAAGGAAAGGGCTGGAGACGAGTGAACAGACTCGCGCAGCGAAGGAGAGGAAGTGGTGGACATGACCCCGGGGTTATGTACGCAGTGCAGCTGTGCGGCTTGGAAAAGGTGTGGAAAGTACCATGGTTTCTTGGATGCGGCACTTGCGGCAGCACTGACATGGGAAAGGATGCAAAGATTGGCGGCGGGATGTGGTACCTTGGACCACTCCACAGCAGGCCACCCAACGATACGGGCGATCCAAGTACACTCGTACACCCTCTCGCACATTCACACATCCACCATGGGCTGCAGATGGCGAGACGGGCAGATCAGACAAGATAGAGAGAGAGAGAGGGGACAGGTACTCTGTGCAGAGGCGCAGAGTAGGGATAAGCTGTACAACCGTGCACCCGCTTGGGAGCGACGGCATGTGAATAATCCCGCAGGGGAAGATAGAGCTGGCGAGGGGTGCCATGATCCATGATGCAGGTGGAGAGTGCTTTCGAATGGGATAGTGTGGTGTGCCTGAGTGTGAATGAGCGTGGTGGAGCGAAAGAAACAGTCTGGTTGTGGTGGTGGTGGTCAAGAGAGAATGGCCCGTGGCCTGTGTGGTTAGTGGTGAGAAACGAACGAACCGCACTACACTTCACGCAGCAAGTTCAAGACAGTGGAGACGTGGATCCATTGTGGATCCTCGGAGCTTGAGGTGTGTCGGGGTCCACAAACAGGGGGGTGGGAGAAAACGCTGTGAGAGGGTGGGGGACAGGACCAGCAGTAGCCAAGTTTGGTGATGGTTAAGTTGGTGGTGGTGTTTTGGTGCAAAGAGTGTGAGAGGGAAACGCTATGCTCGCCCAGGAACAGGAATGAACAGGGGTGGAGGTTGCAAGAAGGGGGGGTGGGGGGCTGAAGTGTGCGTTGCGGTGCCTGAGCTCTTGCGGGCGGCCATTGGCGGAAGTCGTGGCGTTTCTAATTTTTGACTTGGCTAGAAGGGCACTGGTTGAACTCGGGGAGAAAAAAACGACCATTATCTTTTGATAGAGACTGATCGGAAGCCAGGAGGATCATGGCGGGAGCGGAAACGGGAGAAGACTTGAGAAGGGTATTCGGTATTCAAGGACCAGCTTACACGTAGACAGAAGCCCCAACACAACGGGCCCGGGACTGGGCACTGGATGTTTCTCTCCAGTCTGTAAGTGCTGTGCTTTACCCTGTGCCATGGCCTCTCATTTGTCTGCATCTACTTTTTAGAATGGCGATGCCGAGAACGAGGTGAAATGATAGGCTCCCGAGACAACATGAACGAGTTCGATGGAGAACCGTACCAGTCGGTGATCGACAATCAAATCAACCGAGAACCGTGGAAGCATCGTGGCTATCACCATTGTTGTTTAATATGACGTGGAGGCGAGACAGGGCTTCTCTCGGAGGTTAGTTCCCCCTTGTGCATAGCGTAAGCAGCCAAGGTCGGGTGCCGTGTTTGCACCTCGCCTGGGAATTGAGAGTCAGTAGGTACTGGCAAGCTCTTGGGTCTCTGAATGGTGGTAGCATCCCCCAAGTAGCCTCATCTTACAGTACCAAAGTCCCGTTATCAGCAAACCAGGGGATGAGAAAACAGGAGAACGGAAAAAAGGACTAAATGGTGAGTGTGAGTATGTGAGGCTGCCCGAGCCTGTATTGCATGGCCTGAATGGTGCCATGTGGTTTTGGTTTCTGACCACCAGTATTTTTTTTTTTTTCGAGTACTGCACACAAAGCCCCCTTAGGTACGCCAAATCAGGCCTAGGAACGGGCAAGGCACAGAAATGGCGTTGAAACAGAGGGTCCAATGAGGGGCTGAGGTTTACCCTTCTCCGGATGGAGCTAAAGCAGGGCCTGGACAGGCACGCCTAACAAACCCAAAAAGCAAAACGCAGTTGTGTGGGTCTCTTCTGCCGTTTGCTTGGAGGAAACTTAAGGCAGAAGACCAAAGGGCCATGAAAAGCAACCATGGCACGCGTGGGTAGTGGAAGTGGATGGGTGTGCAACATCAGCGCCAAAGTACCATCAGGGTAACTAATCGGCTGCAGCACCTCAGTTGCCCAACCCCAGCAGCAACGTGAATTAGATAGATCTCATGCAGTGCAGCGCAGGATCCCATAGTGTACAGTATGCAAATGTGCAGCTCAAACGTCCATCCGCCCAGATAACCACATCCCATCTTGTAGTATACCGCTCGGCCCGGCCAAAACGGAGCATTGGATGATGCTAATTTGGGCGTACTGCTTTTCTGAGTGCCATCTCGAGTTGCACCCGAACCTAGCCTTGGGTCGGGAATTCCAAGTTTGGCTCGAAACCCCGAGCACAATCTCTTGGTTTGCGAGATTGACAACAGAGACAGGCCGCCATCTAGACCAAGCCTGTTTTCAGGACCGTATCCCTGATTGGTATTCTGACCTTGACGAGCCTGAGTTTGAATCTTTTTGCGCCAAAGAGCAAAAGAGGATCTCTTGGTCTCGAGTAATTCTTGCGTGGGCAAGGAACAATTGCGGGGTTTTCTTCCACGAGGGAACGAAGAAAGGAAGACGGGAAGGCCCTTGTAGTGCTTTCCCTTCTTATTTCTTTTATTGGTCTTTTTTGTTTTATTATAATTCTTTTTTTCCCTACTCATCCGTCTTTCTCCTGCCCGCCTTCAAGAAAAAGGAATTTGGAAAAAAAGAAATCCGAGAATGTCAACCCAGGGTAAGGTAAGGTTAATAGTAGATTGGGTTAGCACGTTAGGTACTAGGGAGGTAGGAGGAGGAACAGACAGACTAGGGAGGTGGACAGGGCAGCGGAAGGCACGTATCCCAGTTGGGTGGGGTATGTTTCCTTACCTTGCCTTCCTTGGTCCCTTCATCTAGCCCCTTCCAGTATCAGCACTATAGAGTGAGTAGTGAGTAGCGGGTGCTCCTTGCCAAAAAGAACCAAAAAAAAAAAGATCCTCCCAGCTTCTGTCTTCCGTCTTCCAACGTTGCATCTAACCACCACAACCACCACCATCGCAAAAGCCATATCCCGCGATCCATACTAACCGAAGCCCACAGACCTGACAAGCCCGTCCCCTCCATGTTCGTCATCGTCCGGTGAGGGCGTGTCCGAACCGTGCGATCGCCCATGAAGACGTACCTGTGGCACGCTACCTTACCTTCCGAGCAAGGTACTAGGTTATTTCCAGCCAACCTACACATCACGTACAGTTTGAGGTCAACGCAACTATCCTAGCCACTGACCGTACGGTGAGGAGGGGCTGGGCAGCTCAAGTGGAAGATCATGTCGGTTTACTCCGTACACTGACCGACGACTGCGACTGCAACCACTTGCGCAGTTGCAACTGCAACCGCCCTGACCTAGCTCGCCCCTCAGTAGAACCAACGCTCTCCGCCTGCAGGACGACGCAAAGCAACACCACCTCGTTCATTTTTGCGCATTTCCCCCCCTCGCTCGCTTCCATGCAAGTAATTTGTCCCTCGTCAGAGCCCCCTCATCTTGTCCCCCGCAGCACCCATCAGGCACGTCGCGCCCATCTGACGAGACACGACATCATGACAGCTCATGCCGTGCTGCAAAGCCTGGCCCTTGCTGCTCCCCTCTCCTCCGTGTCACACCTTCACAATAGAGGAGACTGGGCGAACCCTGCTGCAGCTCCGGCATACTTGTCCTGCAGTGACCTGGGGTCCATGGCTCTCTCTACGCCCGTCTGTTCCCCAGCCTGGTGCTACAGAACCTGAGGACAGTGGTACCAGGCCATGTACTGAATGCTTTCCACACGAGCCCTGACCTGCCGCCGTGAATAGAACTGTGGGCACGACTTCGCACCAAATTTTTTTTTCTTGTGACTGATCAACTCTGGCGTCAACCGCTGCAAATTTAGGACGCCCGAGTTAACGTGGCCCGCGTCCCCCACGTCCTGCGCTTGAAGCGGTGAGCGAGTCAAGGAACAGCTGGCATACTTCACCAGACGAAACTAGACGCCAGCGAGGCACACTAGACACGAAGGCCCGAGGGTTGGGCCTGGGCGAGGGAACCGCCCTGGACCGCCATGGCATGGGATGGCATGGCAGTCATTTTTACTGATGATGATGTGCCACCTCCAACCAGCTGTGGCCGTTTCGCTCGAGACGGCTCAATAAACACCCGACTCGTCCACAGACCTGGTTCCGTCAGTAAGCCGCAGCACCCTCCGTTTCGCTCCGCCTTGGGCTAGGCCAGTCGAGACGGGCGATGGCAGGCAAAAGGCAAGAAAATAGCAGCGCGGGGAAATCAGCACAGTGATGCAAAGGCACCTTTTCGAGAGGCGAAATGCAACTGGCATGCAGTCCAATTAGACATGTCGTTCACGCTCCAAGGACCTGCGCTGAAACAACCCTCC